CTTATCACCCTGTAAAATTATCATCCATCCTGATTTTACAGAGGTGCTTCTTTTACACTTTTCTTTTGTGATAGACCCAGCCCAGTTGGGAACAGCAGAGTAGCAGAAGGGAGATATACTGGCCACTGGATAAGTAGTTTTCTGTTCCCTAAGTGACCAGAGCAGGGGCTGCTCCAGGCTAATAGACCACCTGACTCCAATTAACCTGCTAAGAGTCAGGTGAGGCAGTTAAGCACCTGACTCTAATTAAGGCCCCTCGGATGCTATAAAAGGGCTCACTCCAGTCAAGCCAGTGGGAGCCACAGGAGAGGAAGCGTGTGTGAGAGGAACTGGGAGCAAGAGATGTGCAAGAAGCTGAGAGTGAGTAGGCATACTGCTGGAGGACTGAGAAGTACAAGCGTTATCAGACATCAGGAGGAAGGTCCGGTGGTGAGGACAAAGAAGGTGTTGGGAGGAGACCATGGGGAAGTAGCCCAGGGAGTTGTAGGTGTCGTGCAACTGTATCAGGAGGCACTCTAAATAGCTGCAGTCCACAGGGCCCTGGGCTGGAACCCAGAGTAGAGGGCGGGCCTGGGTTCCACCCATACCTCCCAACTCCTGATCAAACACAGGAGGAATTGACCTGAACTATAGCTTCTACCAGAGGGGAAGGTCTCTGGACTGTTTCCTGACCCACAGGGTGAATCTGTGAAGCGAGCAAATCTGCCAAAAGTGCAGGACCCACCAAGGTAGAGGAGGAACTTTGTCACACTTTATAATAAAGTAGTTCTTTTAAGAACCTGATGGATTTTTAGTGTTGTAAAAATAAAGGGTCTGGTCTGTACTTTTATTAAAGGCAATTGGTTGATATATTATTCTCAAGCCTCCCCAGTGTGGAAACAGGGTTAAAGGATTTAAAGATAGGCCTCTTAGTTATAAGAAACAGAGCAACTGTCATGCTAAGTCTTAGCTTAATATCGTGGGACCTGTAGAAGCAGGGCTCACGTCAGAAGCGGGTGGGAAGACAGCAGAGTAGAGTCAGTGTGACCCAGCCTTGAGATAGCGATGTTTGAGAACAGAAGTGAGAAAATACAGAAATGGGCAGGACATAACATAAACAAACTGCAGATGTTTTTAATTAATGCATGCCACTAAAATGTATAAACGCTTGTGTGATATTGCTTGTATTTTGAAGAAACTGAGGCAGAGATGCTCTCTGTCAGCTGTGTTCTTCCCTTGCAATTGCATGTCCTGAATAAAGTTGTCTCTGATTTTGTTGCTTCCAACCTGAGAGTGGAGTTCGTTTCTTCCACAATATTTGGTGCCATATGACTCGGATGGCTACGCCTGGCTGAGGCAGCGACCGCTACTACAGACTGTTCCCCTTCGAACCCCAGGCGCCAAGCCAGAGGTAAGAGACATTTTGAAATCTCTACTGGGGTGTTGGAGGACTGATTGTGGGGCTGTCTGTCCCTCTGGGCTCACGCCATGCAAACTTTTACTTATGCAACAAGATCAGACGCAGAACGGTGTTGTGGAATTGATTGCCCCATGTAAGGTCAGTGATATGTGTACGCGGGGCTGGGAAATGTGTTGTTGCCCCAGGGTAAGCCAATGTGTGACTTAGGTCAGACCTATTGAGTTGAGGGGTTGTGGTAACGCCCTCAGAGAAGAACACAGGTGTGTTCAGTCTGAACAGAGGGGATGTGGTGATGCCCTCAGGTTAAAAAACAAAACAAAACAAAACAAAAAAACGATGCATTGTGGTATGAAGGAATAGAGGCTTTGGTGTGTGTGTGTGCCAGTGTGAATGAGGGTCACCGAAAGACGCCCACAGCTCCCTGCAAAGCCCACAAACTTGTGACCAGGGATGTCTCTAATGCAAGCCCAGTGGCTACACCTTAGTGGATCGGTAGAAGATCTGACCCAAGGCGGGCTGTCTCTGCATGGCATGACCGGCGAGGGGTCTGCCTGGGTCTAGTATTGTGTGACCCCCATCTTCCCTCCTGCTCTCCTCCCCGCATGAATCACTGACTGATCTGATCACCTTACCGGAGGCAATTAGAGTACGCGGCATCATCTCTCTGAGACTAGTGGACACTCTTTGCTGAAGGGAGGTGGAGGAGGGTTGTGGACATCCTCAATAATCTTTCCTGTGTGAGTGCCTGAGGAGCGGTGTGGTGATTTTAGCTTTGAGCCGCTGCACTCCGCGGACAGGATAGAGACGTGTCTTAGTTTGTGAGCTGCTGCAGCAGGCAGGGCACCCCCCATTCTTAGAGAATGAGTGGAAATCAGTCCAAGGACTTGTTAGTACTTAGATCATTGGAATTCTTACACACATGATGATCCATCTAAACAATTCCCACTAGAAGGTACCTTCGATTCAAATGGGACCATATCTCTTAGAGATGCTCTCTAAGACACAAAGTGTAGGATTTAAAAAGCATCCGGATGCCTCCCTACCAAATTATTTTTTGTTAACCCCTTGGCTTCTTTATATCCCCAATTAGTTAAGGCTGAAAATAAGGAGGGATAGGAACGGGTTAATTTGAAAAGACAGCTTGGTCTAGAGATAAGGAGAAAGCTGCTTTGCGTTCAAGGGCAAGAATTGACACAGACTATGCCACGCATAGAAAACAACAAAGTTTAGAGGCTGCAGAGATGGAAAACACAGATGAAACAGCGAAAGGAGGAGCCGAGCTTCGTGTCCCTGGAGCTGATGTGGTTTGGGAATGCTGAAGAAGCCACAGGCTTCCAGCCTGGACTGGAATACCGAGCAAAGGGTCTCTGAAAGAGACACCCCGGGAGACCCCAGGGCATAAAAGAACAGCCCTCCCAAGAGCGGAAGCAAGTTGGAGATTGCACAGTGTATCTCTGGACAATCTATAGACAGGATAATCTCCCGTCCACCTCCCCCACTTCTCTGGACATTATACACAGACATGGCCAGTCTGGACATATGTGTGTGAGTATGAACGTGGCTTAGGGATTGGGGCAGTAACGTTTTTCTTCCCCTGAGTGATGTGGGAGTGTATACATTAAGGCCACCTCTTTGCTAGATATGCATTTTAATCTCACCATGACCGCAGGAAATCACATTATTTATTGGCCAGCAGACAAAGCCCTACAATCAGACCTTAGGTATCAAATTCTTTTAATTGGACCACTTTAATATCTGACCGATTTCAGAATTTGCACTTACTCCTACCAGAGGTTCAGAAAATTTCTGACTTACAGGGTCAAATCCATGTGCTTCAGAATATATATTAAATTGAAAAACATGCTTTTCATACAGCCTACAGAGTAGCTACTTTGGGTACTAATTATGATGTGATGTGCTATGTAACTAAGGCAGTGAAACAAGCCCAGCATATTATACATTAATGCTTGTATTGCTTTTGTTTAGTCTAGAAATGTGGTGTTGTTGTTATAAGGAGTGTAATAACAAAAATGCCTTTCATGTTCATACTAATCATGCATTATTGTTATATCCAGCTAAGATGTATAGGGCTAGTCCTGATCCTTTTGAGCTATAAACAGAAATACAAGACATGATGCAATTGGAGGTTTAAGAATGTTGGTTGTGCTAAAGACAAGCATAAAAGAGGGGAATGTGGAAACAAAGTTAGAGGATTTAAATTTAGGCCTCTCAGTTGTAAGAAACAGAGCAACTGTCATGCTAAGTCTTAGCCTAATATCGCGGGACCTGTAGAAGCAGGGCTCACGTCAGAAGCGGGTGGGAATACAGCAGAGTAGAGTCAGCGTGACCCAGCCTTGAGATAGCGATGTTTGAGAACAGAAGTGAGAAAATACAGGAATGGGCAGGACATAACATAAACAAACTGCAGATGTTTTTAATTAATGCATACCACTAAAATGTATAAATGTATAAGCTTTATACAGAGTAAAATGGTTTTATTTGGGGTTTAGAGCCCACTGGGAGCTGGGTGTCTGGCTGCTAGAGACAGGAGCATTTCTTAAGCTGTTTTCAGTTAAGTCTACAGCTTTGGGGCACGTGGTTCAGACCCTGGGTCTGTGTTGCAGCAGACTGGCGTGTCTGGCTCAACAAGGCAGGGTTCTGGAGGCCCAAACTGGCAGAGAAAATGGGTTCAGAGGTAGTCTCAGCACATCAGGTGACAGTCCCAAGGGGGTTTCTCTGATCAAACCTGTCACACAGCCTACAACAGAACGGCAATCCAGTATCTAGCACTTGCCTAGCCCCTTCCATGCGGGGAACCCAGAGGCTGGTCACCATGCTGTCCCCTTTGACAGATGGGGGAACTGAGGCAGGGTGGGGGAGTGACTGACCCACAGTCACACGCAGAGCTGGGAATGGAACCCAGGACTCCTGCCTCCCAGCCCCTGCTCTAACCATTGGATGCTACTACATCCCTTTAAGGAAGAGCCCTGCAACTGTGGGATGGGTCCACCTGGGGGGCACGGAGGAACTTTGGGGTGAGTGCAGTGGGGCCCTGGCCAGCCCTCATGGGGGGTGCGGTGGGAGTACCACGCAGCTCCCCTCCGCCCCCAGGCTCCCAGCTCTGCTCCAGCCATGGCCCCAACCCCAGCCTTGCCCCCAGCCTTCAACCCCGACTGTGGCCTAGCCACGGCTTCCACTCCCGGCCCTGGCCTTAGCCCTGCCCACACCTATGGCTCTGCTCCCAGACCCAACCCCAGTCCTGCCTTCAACTTCAGCCTCCAGCCCCCTTCCTGTCCTCAAAACCACCCCCAGCCTTGGCCCCCTTACCCTTGTCCGCCCCCGCCCAGGAGCCATGGCCCGGCTCTGGCTCCCGAGGGGTATGGGGGTGTGTGTGCAAAGAGGGGTAAGGGGGGCATGACTGTGAAAAGTTTGGGGACCACTGCTTGAAGGGCTAAAAGTGTGGGTTTCCCCTGCCCTCCAACACATCCCTAGATCTTCTGTCTCCTTCCCAGTGCTCTGAGCTGACGTGCAGCTTCCCAGGCCTTGGTGGTCCCTGGCTGGAGAGCTGCGCTGCCAGGTACTGGGCCACGCCCCCTCTCACCTTGAAGGACTCGAAGAAGCCTCCGCTACCCCCGCTGCCATTCTCCAGCTTGTCCTCATCCCCGCCCAGACCCATCATGGACTGGCTGTTAACATGCAGCTCCTCATACAGCGTCTCCAGCAGAGCTGCCCGCGTGCGCTCCTGTGGCAGGAGGGGCACAGGGGGCGTTAGTGGCATTGGAGGCATGGGCTGGGGGCAGTAGCGATCAGGAACAAAGGGGGAAGAGGGGACTGAGTATTGGGGGGGGACAGAGGACGAGTTGTGATTCTGTCCCTGGCTCCGGCTCGGTGCCCGGCTGTCGGCCCTGGGGAGTGGGGGTGTCCCCAGGAGCCTTTGGCACATGTGCACTGCCACAGGACCAGCTCAGTGGCCGTATCCTGGGCCCGGCGTAACAACTGCATGCAACTGTGCAGCGAGGCATGGCCCTGGCCCCAGAGCCGACGACCGAGGGCACTGTCTCGCCACCCTTGCTCCCAGAGCCCTAATGCGGGCACTGCGGCACATCGGCTCTCACAGGAATGAGGGCTCGTGGATAGAGAGACGGGGCCAGAATGAGGCATGGGGCAATGGGTGAGGGGAGGGCAGGTACTGGGCATTGCTGGGGGGGGGCTAGGGAGGATGCCAGCTCAGAACGCAGCACATGGCTCCTGACCCACCTCCAGCTTGGCAAACTTCTCGGCTTTGTAGCAGGCGTACTCGGCGTTGATCAGCTTGGTCAGCAGAAACTCCTGGAACTCGAGGCCCTGCGGGAGGAGAAACCCCACGTCAGCCTCTGCCTTTCCCTAGGGAATGAGCTCAGCAGGCAGCCAGCATCAGCCAGGGCAACTTGGCAGTGGCTGAGCAACCCCTGGTGGTGGGACTAGCACATAGCAGCAGGAAGCGCCACCCACCTTGGCCCCGGCCTTGGCCCCGCCTGCCCCAGAGTTCCAGACATTACCGCAATGGGACAGGGCAGGAACCAGCAGACTGTATGGCTGCTCCGAGGGCCCCCTGGGCTCCCTGTCCAGGGAGAGCGGCATTCCCAGCAGAGAGCGTGACTCCCGCACAGACGGACGAGCTGGCCCCAGGAAGCTTCCTGGGACTGGGAAGTTCAACAAACCTCAGGCTTCCTTGCCTCTCACCTTTCTGAAGACGGCTGGGTCAGGCAGTGGGGGGCCAAAGAAAGGCACGTCGTCCCGGGCTGTGACGGAGACCTGCAAGACATGGTGCTGTCAGTCCCACTGAGCCACGTGCTGCCAGGCCAGTGGGTATGTCTAGACGAGGGAGGGCAGCTGGGCAGCGCTTTCCTGCAGGGCCCCCTGCCTTGCCCCACTTACTGGACACTGGGGTGTCTTCATGGCACAGGGGAATCACCCTCCCGACAGCCTGGGCAGGAGCGCTGGGGCCTGTAGTGCCCGGGAGCGGTGCATCCCTCCGAGCGGTATGCCTGCCCAAGAGCTCAACCCTCCCAGCCGCACTAGGCTGCGCTGAGCAGCGGCCTCCAGCCCCTCTGGCCAGGACTCTCCGGCAGCATGTGGTGACAGCAATGCTGCTTCCCCCCAGAGCTGCCATCTCCCCAGATCACTGGGGCCAGGGGCTCAGCATTGAACCAGGACCTTCCACTTCAGGTCCACAGGGTGTCCTTGGGTCAGCATCAGCCTGGCTCCGGGTTCAAGCACCTCACGCCCAGGCCATGTGCTCTGGACAGGGCTCCCCCTCCTCCAGTGACCATCCCAGGGGGAGCAGTGATAACACCCATGCTTCACATGATCATTCGCCCCAAGAGGTAACTGAGGCACAGAGAGACAAAGAGACTGGCTCCATATCACACAGAGTCAGTGGCAGAGCAGGAACAGAACCCAGGAGTCCTGACTACCAGCCCCTATCTATAACCACTAGGGACTGTCACTCCCATATTAAGAACCTTGTGGCCCATTTCTGAGTGTCATGGATTGCTCTGCCCAGGCCTTTTCCCTCAGCTCCCAGTCTCTAGCTGGGAGCAGGTCTGTGGCCCAGCCCCTGCCCTGTTAGTGCCATGGTAACTCGGTGGTGCCGCACCAAATGGGCTGGGTCCCTGGCGGGCTACGACTCACAAGCAGGCCCCCAGGCATGCGCTCACCTTGTAGAGCGTGCTCTCGGAGCAGGGCTTCTCTGCCTGCACCACGATGTAGGCATGCAGGAAGTTGGAGGCGATCATGTCTGGCACGAAGGGCGTGTTCTCATCCTGGAAGACGATGGCCACAATGTCGTTCCCGATGTGCCTTTTCCTCTGCAACTGAGCGCAGCAGGGAGGGCGTTACTCCCGCAGCCCAAGCCCCGTGCCAAGGCGGCCAGGCCCAGCACAGGTCAAGGAGGGGAAGTGGTGGGAGATAGATCAGGGAGACTGGGAGCTCAGCGAGGGGCAGGAGCATGGACAGGCTGAGCCAGAGGGACGGGGGGATCCCCTGGCTGCCCTTTGTCGACATCCCCCCTCCCCTCTGGGCCGAGACGGGGCCTCGGCACTAGCGAGTGTCTCTTCACTCCAGTGGGGGAATGGGGCTGGGCTGGGGCTGAGCAGGCCAGGGGCTGTGTGGGTGGCGGGGGCTGGTTTGGGGCAGAACCACTTGGGATGGGAGTCACATTGGTCACAGTGACTGCCTAAAAGAAGGGTGATATGCGGGTGCATGAAGAGGGTGGGGTGTGTGCACATGAAGGCTGGAGGGCTGTGTGGGGCTGTACTTTAGGGGGTGTATACACGTGTGTGCCCATATATGTGCAGACATGCATTTCCGTGTGCAGCCCCTGCCGGGGTGGGTGGGGTGCCCATGCAGGGCTGGGAGGCTGTGTGGGGCTGTACTGTAGGGGGTGTATACACGTGTGTGTCCATACATGTGTAGACATGCATTTCCGTGTGCAGCCCTTGCCGGGGGGTACTGCAGCTCTCTCCTACCTGCTGGGCGTCGCCCTCGGTGTAGGGCAGCTTTGTGGATACGTGGAACATGATCTCCTTGCTGCGGAAGGTGCAGTAGACGGATTCTGTTCCCGTCTGGCCATGGGTCACGTCCAGCCCCCCCCGGAACCTGCCACCAAAAAGACCCAGGCCTCAGGCAGATGCCCACCCTGCCCTGTCCCTCCACTCCCAAGGAGCCCGGGACAGCAGCTGCAAGGCCAGGACGATCTGTCCCGCAGAGACTCACTGGATGGGACAGCGAGTGGCACAGGCTTAGCATAGAGGGGCCAGAGCAGTGCAGGGGGCCAGCCTCCCTCCTCTCCACACACAGGCCCAGCAGACCCAGGCTGGCAGGAGCTCGCTCACCCCTTGAAATCCTGCAGCTGGACTTTCTGGCCCAGGAAGTCGAGGAACTCCACGAAGGCCGGGCTCTCCTCGGTGGTGCCAAACAGCTCCTCCTCGGACGTCTGCAACATGGCCAGCAAAGCAGAGGAGTTAGGACAGGGCTGGGCCCCCTGGCCAGCTTAGCATGAGCCCGGGGCTGTGCTGGGTTGAGGCCTGTCCAGACAGCCTGGCTGGAGAGAAGCTGAGTCTGTGAGAGGGGGCAAAGGAGCCACTAGCGGAGATGGCGCTTGTAAGGGTGCAGGGGCGAAGAGCCTCTGCTGCGGCCAAGTCTCCCCCGGGTCTATGCCATGAGCTGAGCTCTGTCCTGCAGAGTGAACCCGCAACGCTCCAGATGGCAGTGCCTGCGGAGAGCATGACAGCCACTGGGACCCAGCTCTGGGGAGTACCCATCACAATCCTTCATCTGGGGCTGTCGCAGCCCCTCACCAACAGCCTGTCTGTGCACCCAGCTTCGGGGTTCTCCCCATTTGACTGTGGGGAAACTGAGGCATGGGGGCCATGACTTGTAAAGGGTCACTGGAGAAGTAGGTAACAGAACTCTCCAGACTTCCAGTTCCCAGCCTTAACCATTAAGTGATGCTCTTCACCCCACCCCACCCCCGGTAACAGAACCAAGGCAAACGCTATGTAGTCAAGGGTAGGGTTTAGCTGGATAGCCCCTGCCATGGCTCCTGAATCCATTACAGCTCTTGGCAAAGCAAACGGGCCATTGCTGTGCTGAGATGAAAGCAGCTGGGAGGGCGGGATGCCAGGGAGATGTCTCTGCTGTTTAGGAAACCCGGCTCCAGCCGCTCCTGCTCGCCAACGGCCATGCTGAGCTGGAGCGGCAGCCGGAGGGTTGGGGGCTCCCGTCCCCGCTGCAGGCTGCTTGTCAGAGGGGAAAGCCGGGGATGGAGGCTGGCAGGCTGGGGTAGCCCCGCCCCCTGTGGGATCGATTCACCGTCCCGGAGAGCCCAGCCCCCGCTCCACAGAGACTGACCCACCTGGCCCAACTTCTGGTAGATGACACCGAACTTGAAGTGATTGCTGAGGACGTGCTCGTCGAAGGTGACAATGAGACGGGAGGCCTGGGGAGATAGGAGAGGCTGGTTACATCCGGCTGCCAGGAACCCCTGCTCCCTCTGGGTAGTGACAGGGACCCGGCCCTGGGGGGACTCATGAGCCACACATGGGGCAGGTTCCTCTCAGGGCGGTAGGTGTGGGGTGTGAGGCATGGGGCGGTGCAGAATCTGGATTTCTGGGAGGGGGGTCTCATGATTTCGACATTTCTTCCGTCCCAGAACGAGAACAACATTTGAAATTTCCCACAAACCAATTTTCTGAAAGATAATTCATCTGGGGCCAATCGAAGCTCTGACATAATCTGACCCTTCCCTTCCCAGCGCCACTTTTTGCCCCATTTTTATAATACACAATTCTCCAAAAAAATCACAAAAAAATGGAAGGAAAAGTTGTTTCAAAATGGAAAACCGAAATGCCGCATTTGGAAAAGATCAAAATGGGGCACTCCAAATGGGACACCCCCAGCCCTGCACCCGGCAAGGATGCCCCATGCCTGGCAGGATATGCCCGGCCCCACGCAACGCACCCAGCCCTGCACCCAGCACTTGATTTCCATTTGGAAATGAATTTACCAAGGTGAAACGATTCCATGGATTGTTTGCTGTCTCTGAACTGCGGTTTCCAATGGAAAAAATCCCATTAGAAAATTTCCTCCCACAGGCAGGTGGGTGAGGGGCACCCTCGGAGCAGGAACAAGCCACACAGACAGGGACTGGGCTGGCTCTAACAGGCTTTTCCCATCTCTGAGATCTAGGACTCTGGTTCTTGTCCCCACCTGGTGCAAGCCCAGGCCCCTCACCCAGCTCTGTGCGAACTCCTAGCACAGCGACCAGGAAGCCCCACAGAGCATGGAGAAGAGGGCACCTGAGCTCTTTTCCAAATCCAGCCCTTTGTGCCTGCATCCACATGTAGTTACTCACAATGCTCTTCTGCCTGTCAGCAGAAAAGGGATGGAGCAGAGCTCTGGGACATTTTGGGAGGGGGTGTCTGGGAGTCACCCAGGGATGCCCCTCTTTTCTGTGAGCTGGGGAACCAGAGTGCTGTCTAGTGTCCCCTTCCCCGCCTCAGTGGACTTCAGAAATGTGCTGTGGGAGGGATGGACTCTCCCGAGTCCCAGGGCTTCCTCTGAACCCCCACCCACCCCAGGGGTGGGAGCTTCGCCATGGAGCAGCAGGACCCTAGCCCAGCCCAGGACAGAATGCCCTGAGCTGAGTGCTCTGCTCTCAGCACTGGAGTCAGGGGGCAGAAGGAGGCCAGCCCTGTTATAACCCAGCCAGTGAGGTAAGCCCCTAGGACGGGGCGCCTCTCCTGCAAGGAGGAAGCGCCTCCAAACCCCTGGGTGGGGCTCTATGCTGGTCCGGGAACACCCTGAGAAAGGCTCCCGGGGGCGGGGGGGGGGGAGGAGGGGGCTTGGTGGTGCTGCTTCTGGCCACGGGCAAACCTGGCAAAGGAGCCAGCCAGGGTCAGGTTTGGGACTAAAGCTGAACTAAGTTCTGATTGGCTGTGGAATGCCCAGCCTGCCCGTCCAACATCCTGGTGCCTGCTGAAGCCTGGGGTTCCCTGCTGGGACCCCTGGTGGGAGCCCCCAGTGGTGAAGAGGCAGGCTGGGTGTGCATATGCACACGGGAGCTGTCAGAAAGTGCACGCTGCCGCCAGCCTACCTTTGGGTACAACACCGGATAGAACCGATCCACGTTCACGTCCTCACACGCCAGCTGAAACACAGACGAGAGAGTGAGAACGTGCATGTCATGGAGTGTGGAGGATTCCAGGCCCTGCACCCTCACTTCCTGCGATTCACTGTGACTCTCAGCCAGCCAGTAAAACGGAAGGTTTATTAGACGACAGGAACACAGTTCCAAACAGAGCTTGTAGGTACAACCAGGACCCCCAAGTCAGGTCCCGTGGGGGGGGGGGGGCAGGGAGCTTAGACCCCAGCCTTGGGGTTCCCTCCAATCCCCCAAACCGCTCCAAACTGAAAAATCCCCTCCAGCCGTCTCACCCAGCCTTCCCCGGCTCCTCCCCCAGCCTTTGTCCAGTTTCCCAGGCAAAGGTGTCGCCTGGCTGCAACCCCGCTCCTGGCTCAGGTTACAGGCTCAGGTATCATCCCTCAAGTGAAGTCACCCCCTGCTCTCCCATCCCCCAATGCAGACAGTCCCAGTAAAGATCCCCTGCGACATCCCTAGGTTAATCCGCCCCGCTCCCTGCGTGTGTGCACGTGTCCGGGGCGGGGAGGAGGGGTGCGTGCATTACTGCCCCTGCTGGATGGGAGCAGCCAGAGCTCACCTGTGTGGGGTTTTGGGGTGACGCTCTCTGTTCTCTCAGGCTCCCTTCATGGAGCAAGGTGGGGGTTTGTATGTGTGCCCCCGCCCCTGCCCCACACCAGGCTATCAACCTCAGCCCCTGAGAGAGAATGGGCTGTACAGCCCTGGCTGCCGGCCACGGCCGCTGGGCAGGCTGCAGATAAATGAATCCCTGCTAGGGTTACCATACGTCCGGTTTTTCCCGGACATGTCCGGCTTTTCGGCAATCAAACCCCCATCCGGGGGGAATTGCCAAAAAGCCGAATATGTCCGGGAAAAATACCAGCCGGGCACTTCCTCTCCCGCGGCTGCTCTGCTCCTCCCCTGACTCAGACAGGCTGGCTTTAGGCCGATTCAGGCTGAATCGGGCCCCTCGCTAAGAGGGCCCCGTGCTGCAGCTCTCCACCCCGCCCCCAGCTCACTTCTCCCTCCTCCCCTCCCCTGAACAGTCCGCCCCCTGCTCCTCGTCCTCCCCTGCTTCCCGCGAATCAGAGGTTCGCGGGAAGTCTGAAAAGAAGCAGGGGCGGGCAGGCAGGCTGGCAGCACCAGGTAAGCTGGGGTGGCGGGGGGCGCGAAAAGGGCTCCGGGGAGGCACGGCCCAGTCCAGCCCCGGCCAAGCAGCTCACTCTGGCCCCGGTTCTGGCCGAGTGCGCTGGCCCGGCCC